ATCATGAGGATAAAGCTCCCACTCAATCTGCCAATGCAGGTATAATGCAAAACGTAACTACTAATACTGTAGGTGCTAGCTGGATAGTGGATTCAGGAGCATCCAATCACATGAAATCTAATCTTAAGATGTTGCACAATTGTAATGAGGTGTCAGGATCTGAGATGAATCAAGTTCACCTACCTACGTGGAATGTTGTAATCACTCTATCTCAAATTTTTTAGTCCTACCTGACATCAATATTAATCTATTGGCTGTCTCCAAACTAACTAAGGAATTGCAATGCTCTGTGGCATTTTCCCCTAACTTTTGCATCTTCCAGGATCTCTCTACTGGCATGGTGAAGGGGATTGGTAGAGAAGATCAAGGACTATACATTCTCAAGAGCAATACTGTAGAACCAATTTCTTCTTCTTGTTCACTGAATAAGTGTGTCAACACAGTTCAATTGTCTGATTCCAGTATATTGTGGCACAGAAGATTGGGTCATGCCCCTCTTAAAGTCATTATAAGACATGAGAGTCTAAGTCATCTCAAATGTGAAGGTCAAATGTTCCATGTATGCCCTTTGGCAAAACACACCAAACTACCTTTTCCTATTAGTTTGTCCAAGTCTAAGTTTATTTTTGAATTAGTGCATTGTGATATTTGAGGTCCATATGGAGTTCCTACTCACAATAGCAAGAGGTTCTTTGTCACAGTTGTGGATGAGTTTTCTAGTTCACTTGGTTGTTTCTGATACAGTCTAAGATTTAAGTCATTGTTGTACTAAGAAGCTTTCTTACTAGAATAAAAAATCTTTTTTCCACTTTTGTCAAAATGCTGAGAACTAACAATAGTTGTGAATTTTTCAGTACTGCATTTCAAACTCTCATATCTACTCTTGGTATATCCCATCAAAGTTCATATGTCTACACTACACAACAGAATGGAGTAGTAAAGAGGAAACATAAAACCATCTTAGGGATAACTAGATCACTCAGATTCCAGGCTGTTATTCCTTTAAAATTTTGGGGTGAGTGTGTCACCACTGCTGTGCACATTTTAAATAGAACTCCATCTAAGCTTCTCAACTTTCTACCGCCTTATGAACTGTTGTATAAACAACCACCTGATCTAACTCATCTCAAAGTCTTTGGGTGCCTAGGTTATGTTTCCAACCCAAAATCATCCGATAAGTTTGCTATTAGAGCTATTCCTGGTGTTTTCATGGGTTACTCCTCAACTCAAAAGAGGTATAAACTCTATGACATCCACACAAGATCTTTCTTCACTAGCAGAAATGTTGTCTTTCAAGAGTCTATATTCTCTTTCCTCCATGCAAAGTCCTTTGGTACTCTTCTATTTCATGTCCTAGATCTCCTTGATCTACTTTCTTTGTCTCAGCCTCCATCCTCCAGTACCTCCATTCAGGAGGAGCATCCTCCAAATGCTCCCTCAGAACCCCAGTTCATTCTCCTGCATCCCATCTTGTGCCACCTCATGTAATTGAGCCGAGAAAGTCCACCAGACTCAAACACTCTCTAGCCTGGATGAATGACTTTATACTCTAGAAAACACCCATCTCCAACACTTGTTCTTATCCTCTATCATCTTATATATCTTACTCCAACTTCTCTCCACCCTGTCAACTTTCCTTGACACCATATTCATCTATCTTAGAACCCTCTCCTTTTCAATAAGCTTCCAAAGACCCATCTTGGATCCAAGCCATAAAGCTATAAATAACTGCTCTTGAGAACAACAACACATGGTCTATTGTGGACCTTCCTGCTGGTAAGTCACCTATTGGTTGCAAATGGATATTAAAGTACAAAGCATCAGGTGAGGTAGAGAGGTACAAAGCTCGGCTGGTATCCAAGGGGTTCAGTCAAAAGCCTGGGTTGGATTATTCTAAAACTTTTTCCCATGTTGCTAAAATGGTCACTCCAGGTTACTTGTTGCTCTTGCAGCCTCCAAGAAGTGGTTCATCTATGAAATGTATGTTCACAATGCCTTTCTTAATGGTGACCTCTTGGAGGAAGTGTACATGCAAGTTCTTGAATGGTTTGTTAGATAGGGGAAGCCTAAGAAGGTCTACAAACTTCATAAATCACTATATGAGTTGAAGCAATCCCCAAGACAGTGGAACAAAAAGTTGACAGATGCACTAATTCAAATGGGCTTCACTCAAAGTCATTATGACTACTCACTCTTCACCAAAAAGGCAGAAGGGAACTTGGTGTTCATTCTAGTCTATGTAGATGACCTCTTGGTCACTGGAAACAATCAGACTCAAATCAATCAGGCAAGGCAATATTTGCGACATCAGTTCAAGATGAAAGACCTTGGGGAACTTAAGTTTTTTTGGGAATTGAAGTGTCCAGGTCACATTAAGGAATAGTAATGTGTCAAAGAAAGTATGCTATGGAGTTAGTGTTAGAAGTTGGGCTGAGTGGAGCAAAACAAGCCAACACTCCACTTGAAGTGAATTAGAAATTAACATATGCAGAATATGATAGAATAATATCAAATGGAGGAACAAATGATGATAGTGTACTGAGGGATCCTGCTGCATATCAGAGATTAGTGGGAAGGTTACTATACCTCATAATGACCAGGCCGGATATAGCATTTGTAGTTCAAGTGCTAAGTCAATATATGCATTGCCCAAAGATCTCACACATGTAAGCTGCCCTAAGAGTGGTAAGATATATCAAAGGTACACCTGGTGTGGGACTATGCATGCCTGTTGAGAGCACTAATCAACTAACCTCCTACTGAGTAGGGTGATTTCTTGGAAACCAGAAGATCTGGGTACCTTGTAATATTTCGAGGAGCTTTGATTTCTTGGAAGGCAAAGAAGCAAGAAACTATATCTCGAAGATCAGCAGAGGCTGAGTTCAGATGCATGGCTACCTGCACTGCTGAACTTACATGGCTGATAGGATTATTCCAAGAACTAGGAGTACATGTTCAACAACCCATAGACCTAATGTGTGACAACAAAGCTGCAATCAGAATTGTTGTAAATCCTATATTTCGTGAAAGAACAAATCATATTGACATTGACTATCATTTTGTAAGAGAAAGAATCAACCAAGGAATGATCAGAAATGGCCATGTGTCTACTACTGAACAACTAGCTGATATAGTCACGAAAGGACTTGGAAGAGCTCAACACGAATACTTAATGGGAAAGCTAGGGTTAAGAGACTTGTTCAAGCCATCAGCTTGAGGAGGAGTGTTGAGCTGAAAGCACAAGCTGATGTAACCAGAGTTAGGAGTTAGTTTACTACAGGAAAAGTAGTTAGAAAGTGGTTATAAGTGAGTTAGGTTGTTAGTATGTTAGGCATGTATGTGAAGATGATCAATCTTATAAATACCCATGTATTATACTTGTTATAAAAGTCAGTGAGATGGAGTAGAATCAGAATTATGTTTTTCTGTACATTGTCTTCTTCCTCTCGAGCTAAGACTCACTCGTCTAGAATCTTCCAATAGCTCCAACTATGGAGTTTAACATGAGTTGTATGAAATAAAAAGTATTGTTCTTTTTAAAAGAATAGCTGTCTTTTGTCACTATCAAATTGTAATCAATGTTTCAGATATTATGTATACCCCGTTATAATATTGGTGTCGTTCTAAATTTCTTATTATTACTATTTAGCGTGAATATTATCTTGGATGAGATTTTCATTTTCCGAATAATGGAGTGGAGCCTAGGTTAACGGTTAGAAGTGGCTAAGCCAATATAGTAGAACGGTAGACCGTAGGAGGAAATTCGGCATGCAAAATGGAGAAGTTGTCGGAGATGGCTTTGAAGATGTAATGGAACTAACACTACAACTATTGTGTTACTCTTAGGAAGGATTCATATAGATTTGCAGACCTATTTGGCACATGAAGTATCAACCTAGTATTCAACGCCTGTATTTTCAAATTAAATATCTTTTCAATGTAAAAATTGCACCGGATAATAAGTTTTTACCGAATATATTTTTGATCTAAGTAAGCCATATATTCGATATTAAAGCAGTAGAGAAGTCATGCTCGATATTTATTTGAGATGTTTTCATTAGTGGATAGTGACAATATGAACAAGCATATGGTATTGCCTATGTACAGTCGATAAAATTGAAATGATATAGAATGAAAAAATTAGCATGACCCTATGCAAAGATATTCTTTATATGTCGCATTGTTCTCTGATTGAACATATGAAGTGTGTTTCGGGCATTTATTTGTTTGATTTCTTTTTCCTAGTTGCCTGACAAGGGACTTTGAATGATCTTGAATACTTGTTGTCTATAATAGTTGTCTAATATGCTTATTCGAGGGCGAGCAAAGTTTTTATATTTTGAGTATATATATATCTATATAATAGATATGTTTTTGTGCGTGTTTTAGAGCTTTCTAAGTATTTTATCGGTTGAAAAATGGTCATTTGAGCTTAATTGTGAATTTCAATGTGCAGGGAGCATTTGAGATGAAAGGAAGCAAATTGTGATAGCTTTGACGAGTTTAAACTTAAAATGAGGAAATCCCTTAATCAAGCTGCCAGTCAGTTTGGATTACTGATACATATTGTTTGATAATATATGTATTATATTATGTTATATTATATCGTATTTAATTATTTTAATAAATACAATTTTGTTACATAATATTACACATAATTTTTTTTAAAGATAAACCTTTGAGAAAAGAAGGGAATGAGGTAAAGATCTTGTAAAAAGGTAGGGTAAAAATTACCTTTGAGAAAAGAAGGGAATGAGGTAAAGATCTTGTAAAGAAATAAAATATGATTATTAAATACTACTTTCTCGGACTAAAAAAGAAAATATGTCATTCTTTTTTAAATGAATGGAGTAAATAAAGATAAAATGAAAAAAAATAACAATGTGACCACACCAATACGATATTACACAAAATAAGCCTTTTATTTATTTTTTCATTAAATAATAAATTTTAAATAAGTATTACTATATTTAAAGGAAGGTAAAAAAAGTCCAAACAAGCGGAAGTGTATAATTTTCAAGTGGAGTATTGAGACTCTTTAGAGATATCCTACCCACCCCTTTATAAATAAACACAATACCCCAAGGGACAGAGGCAGCAAGCAAACATGGGTATTGCAGTTTTCATTGCTTTGGCCGTATGTTTGCCTTTCAGTTTTTGGTGCCTAAAATTGCTCTACTTTGTATGGTGGCGTCCCAAAACAGTAGAAAATGAACTGCGGCAGCAAGGAATATATGGGCGTCCCTATAGATTTCTATTTGGAAATCTAAAGGAGATGATAGAGATGAATAAAATAGCCAAGTCTAAACCCATGCCATTGCACCACGATTTCACACCTCGACTTAATCCATTGTTCTATGAACTGGCCACCACTTACAGTAATTATTCTTTCTAATTTCCAATGGCCTTGTTACAGTAACATTTTTAATTTGAACACTGATTGTGGAGTGGTTATTATTGCAGAGAAACTTTACTTGTTTTGGCTAGGACCGATACCTCGATTAACCATTTTGGATCCCAAGTTAATTAAGGAAGTACTGTCAAACAAATCGGGTGAGTTCAGAAAACCAAACATCAGCGCTTTCCTGAAGCTATTTGTAACGGGGCTGGGGACTTACGATGGTGAAAAATGGGCGAAACACAGAAAAATTCTTAATCCGGCTTTCCACATGGAAAAATTGAAGGTATTTACTAGTATTAGTTTTCTGGTATACAATTTCCTTAAGTGATTTATTATTATAATTGTTGGTGTTTGCACAGGTGATGTTGGGATTATTTGTTAACTGTACCGATGACATGATAAGCAGATGGGACAAGCTAACTGGTTCAACGGGTGGTTCTTGTGAAGTAGATATTTCTCAAGAATTTCATAATTTAACTGGAGATATGCTATCGAAAGCAGCCTTCGGTAGCAATTTTGAAGAAGGGAAGTTGGTATTTTCACTTCTGAGAGAGCAATGTGAACTAATTTTCACTGCAAAGCTTGCTATTAATGTCTTCCCATGGTTAAGGTACTTGTAGTAATTAACTAATGCCTTCGTTTTCCTTGCATTGGATCTTAACAATTGATGATGTATGTAATAGGTTTGTGCCAACGAAAACTAATAGGAGAAGATTGTACATCTATAACACAGTTCGTAGTTCGCTAAAAGCAATAATTGAGAAACGAGAGAAAGAGGTACAATCTGGAAAATCACACAATGAAGATCTGTTGGGTTTGCTAATGAAATCTAATCAGGAAGAACAGCAAGGGAATAAGAACTCGAACAAAGGAATGAGTACAGAGGATATGATAGAAGAGTGCAACTCTTTCTATTTTGCTGGTCAAGAGACTACTGCAACTTTGTTAACATGGACTGCAATTGTCTTGACTATGCATCCAGATTGGCAAGAGAAAGCCAGGAAAGAAGTTCTTGAAGTCATTGGAAAAGATGAGCCTAAGTTTGATCAACTCAACCATCTAAAGATTGTAAGAAGATACTATCGTTTTCATTTCCCATTCATACTTTGGAATTTTTACATATCTACTACACATTTGGTCAAAACCGTGTTTAATTATAACAAGTAGAATCACGACCCACCCCATAAACTTCAAATTCTAGATCTACCTAAAAAGGGAGTACTAGTGATTTGAATTCTGGATTCATCTATTAATTAATTTGTGCTATATATGTAGGTAACTATGATCTTGCACGAGGTTCTGAGGTTATATCCATCAGGTTCTCTTGTTAGAGAAACAAACAAAAAGACAAAGCTTGGAGAGTATACAATCCCAGCAGGTGCGCAACTTTTAGTTCCTCTACAAACAATCCATCGCGATACAGAGGCATGGGGAGAAGATGCTCTAATTTTCAATCCAGAAAGGTTTTCAGAAGGGGTATCAAAAGCATCAAAGGACCTGATGTACTTTCCGTTTGGTTGGGGTTCTCGGATATGCCTTGGAATGAATGTTTCCATGATTCAAGGGAAGCTTGTTTTGGCTAAAATCTTACAGAACTACTCCTTTGAGCTTTCCCCCTCCTATGCTCATGGTCCAACCATGCCAGCTCTTGTTCTACAACCACAATATGGTGCTCCTATGATCCTTCGAAAGCTATCATGATATTGGTCACCCTAACATGAATCAATAAATCACTTCTCTGTTTCCTATTGTTGTGAACTTTTCTTCATTCTATCCACAAACAGGATTTGCTGGTTTTACAGCAATCTCAAGTTCACATCATTACATGATGCTTAAATTACATGTTTGTTTTCAGAATCTGTGTTGAATCTTATTAGCTAAATCTGAGGCAAAATGGGTTAATGAAGTGACTAATTTAGTTTTTTGAGTGTTTATGTTGGCATCGACCGCCTCTTTTGTTTTAACAAGGCTTATTAGTTTGCTTCTCACACCACAGTATACCTTGCTATTGATTCGCTTCGAAAATTAAGAAAGATATTTTCTAAAACTTTACTCCATCCTTAAATTATAATATTCTTTTCTTACCCCATATTCGATCCTTCCCATCTAAAAAAAAATAATATTAAATTTTCATATTTTAAAATTTTTTAATATTTGTTTTTTCGTACCCCTAAACCAGACCCCTCCTCCCAAACAAAAAAAAAGTTAAAAAATTATTTTCAAATTATAAGATTCTTTTTACCACATCCAACCCCTACCCCCTTCAAAAAATAAGAAATTGTTTTACAAAAATATTTCAAATTTTTAAAATTTCATTTTTTTACCCCATTCAATACCCTAACCC